AACATATAACAACAAAGCAACAAAACGATTTTTTTCACCTTTGTGCACTACGTGGCCATTTGGCAACTAACATACACAAGCATTATTTTACAATTTTGTGGCAAATTCTTTCATATAGGGTTGATATTTAGACCAATTGTATTTATATTGTTAAAAAAACAAAAACGTTATGGTTTAAATAGAAAAGTGTACATTATAGGTTAAAAAAAACGTTATGAGTATGAAAATTATTTATTATGAAAATATCAGTGATCCAGAGTCCTACTTATTTACAACATAATTGTTTAGATCATTTTGTACAACAAAAGTTCAGTTAATTAAATACTTGAAATTTGTTATATTAATGTATGTATAATATTTCTTACTTGGTTGGCTCAAATTTAATTAATATACCCTATAGTTATTGGTTCAAGTTGATTTGGCCTTAAGGTTGCATCACCGAAGTTTTTTGTACGAACACGTATTAGACTTATGTACACAAAGAGTACACAATGTAGACCTATAAATTGTCCTACAGTCCAGAATAATTGTTATATTGCATAACGAATGTAATAGCATAATAGTACACGCTTTTTGCAAAGTGAAACCATTTAAGTAATAATACAAAAGATAATTGAAATAATTTTTAAAAAATGATTTTCCAGCAAACTTATATTAATTATTTGACGGTTTCACGATAAAATATAGCACATGCAATGTTTTCACAACTGTTGAAAACATCGACTAGCTTTGCTGATTTAATGCACAACTGTCTCATCTCTGGGCTGTGGGTGACAGGCTCTATGTCACTAAATGACACACAATCCTGTGGGTTCATGCACATTGGCCCTACAATATAGTCGTAGTTATTAAAACGTTCTGGTGCTGGTCCCCTTTTCCCATTTCTCCAGTACTTGATAACTTTACACCACAGGTCCCTGTTCTCATCTAAGCAAAGTTCTCTAAACGCTCGGAGTGTTGACATTGAAATTCTGTACGTGATAACTGCAGGTTTTTTCGATATACACCCAGCTCTTCTCTTAGCGTGACTGAAGACGTAGGAAACATAGAACCCATCTCTGTGGGAGAAGTCTTGACTTGGTCCACCTTCAACCAAATCAATGCCGCGAGTTAGAATAGACGTGACGTGTTCATGTGAGGACCCGTGGTATAACTTGACATAATCATCACCGCCACTTTCTTTTATGTATGTTTGAATGTCTGTTCGAACACTTTTGTTTTTACAATCAGAAACATTAATCATTTTAATCTTGCGTTCATCAACAGTTTGATCACTCTCCAACTTGACAGTTTGGTCAAAAAATACATCAGTCAGTGTGTGGTTGTAAGGGAAATCACTGGCCTCAGTTAACACAGGATGACATTGGAACATGTCTAAAATATGTGATGTAGCCAGGTCTAAAGCTGACTGGTGGTTGATCCAATCTTCTGGGATATCATCTGCTATTGATGCTGCTTTACATTCAGTGAAACCCAACAAGATCAGCTTTTGTCTAACAACATTCACTTGATGCATGAATTCATTGGCTAGTTCATCTTGTTGTATATTTTTTCTGTTACGTTTAACCCAGTTCAACACCCTGCTTGCTTGTAGGTCATGTAGCCACATGTCAACATCTACCTGCTTTGAAAATTTTGAAAACTCAGGTTCGAGTCCCAAAACACTGCACAAGATATCAACATCGTACACAACAAGATTTTGACCAAAGTTCAATTCTTCAAGTTGCTGTTTGTTAAAGTGAATACAACTCAAGAGATCAACTTTAGATTGTAGGTCTACTATGTGTCCATGTACTTCATTCAGCCATGCTGAGACTGACCAGGGCAGGAGAGCTTGAAACCTTGTCAAACCACTGGACACAGCCTCTACAACATCAATGAGTTCTTCAACCTCTGTAGAGACCTAAGAATATTTATCAGGTAATAATAAAAGCATTTTTATCACAATTTTGCTATAACAGATATTTCTATTTTGGTTTTTCAAGAAAATGTGTTATTCCATTGTTAGAAAAGGTTTAATTTAGCATTAGATGTAAAGAGCAAATAGCTGTGCAAGTTGTGGGTTTTTTAACTTTTTTATGTATCATTGTTTAAAACGAGGGTAAAAAAAACAGCATTTAATAGACATGTACATTTTTAATGAAGCTGTCTATTTACATTTTAAAAGTTCCAATTTAGAAAAAACATAAAAAGAAGAAAGACTTCCTTATATAGGTTAAATTATTATAAATACATACAAATTCAGCATTCCCAATGTATTAATTAAGTGCTAATAATACTGTTTGATTTCTTCTTTGAAAACATCATTCCAATTGTGTATTGGGCCAGGTAAAAGATTGATCAATATATTCAGTGATTTAAACATGTACTTCGCTCAAAAAGTATACACACCTGTTTTTCTTGTAAGAGACGACTTTCCTTTAGAGTATCCAACAAACGATTGTTGTAACTCAAAATGAGGCTGGTAAATATTAGAGCATCCGTCATTTTATTGGTAGAAAAATCTTTGAATATTCCAAAATCAACGTCTGATTCCTCTTTCATTATCAACTCTAAATTCTTTGTGACACTACTTTTCTTTACTCGTTCAAACCATGGAGAAATATTGTGGCTACTTTTGTGGTAGTACTCTAGGAATAATGGTTGTCCTGTTATTTGAACTATTGTTGACCAATAGCGTTTTAAAATACCAAAAAATAGATCCTCTCTAGGATAACTTTGAACAGCAGTGTTCGACATCTAAAAAGAATTCAAGAAATGTCCATTTTATGCAGTATATGACAATCAAATATTTATGAGAGTATTTACTATGTTATATATATATATATATATATATATATATATATATATATATATATATATATATATATATATATAAAGCAATGTACGTTTGTGTGTCTGTCTGTCTGTTTGTCCTTTATGCATTACTACACCTCTCATCACATCACCGTGAAACTTTGGGAAGCTGTTGAGAATATTCATGGGGAGGTTTCTGCGAAAAAAATAATTTCTAATTCTCTGGGGTGGCGCCCCGACAGGGCGCGATTTGTTTTTTTCTATATACGGTACATAAAAATAAACGTCGATTTTGGTATGGCATAGCGCATCCGATAGCCATGAGACTTTGGGGAGTTCATTATACCACTCTAGGGAAGGGTTCTGTAAAAAAATCATTTTTAATTTCGCAAGGGCGGCGCCACGGGAGGGTCCGATTTTTCTCTATATACGGTATATAAAAATAAAAGTCGATTTTGGTGTGACACCGTTATCCGATAGCCATGAGACTTTGGGGGAGTTGATTAGAACAATTCAGGGAAGGGTTCTGTAAAAAAAAATCCTTTTTTAATTTCGCAAGGGCGGCGCCACGGGAGGCTGCGATTTTTCTCTATATACGGTTTATAAAATTTCGGTTTCACACCGTTCATCCGTGTACCATGAAACTTTGGGGAGATGATTAGATCAATCAATGGTAGGGTTCTGCAAAAAAAAAATTGTTTAATATTGCAAGGGCGGCGCCCCCGGGAGGGGGGGAGGGACGATTTTTTTTTCTCTATACACGGTTTATAAAAAATAAAACTCGGATGCGGTTCATCCGAGTGCCATGAAACTTTAGGGAGTAGATGAGAATACTCCCGAGAATATTTCTTCGAAAAAGAAAACTAAAGTTTCTTATGGGCGGCGCCATATAGGGTACAACTTTCGTCAATACACGGTTTGGTGCCCAGAGTTTTAGAGCGACTATGTTGGCACTTGGCATCAGTTAATCGAGCGTCCTGCATAGCGAGTGAGGGGTACTACTATATTCAGCGGTAAAACAACAACAGGCTTCTAAAAAATAACTTTGTAACGCGAGGAAATCCTGTACAGTTTCGTCACCTTGCAAAAGATGAAAAAATAACCTTTTGAATATGAGGAGCCTACTGTAGAGTTTCGTCACCTTGCGAATGATGCAATAAGCATCTATTATTAGACGATTCAGTCAGAAATTGAGATCGAGCATCTAATAATAGAACATTAGTAACGCTAGCATATTGCATCAGTCACACTGATGTTTAAAACACGTCAAATATTTTTTTTACGTGTTAAAAAAAAATTCTGTTCATTTGTGTCACTTTAGCGAATGACGAAATCTGCGTCATTATTAACAGGATGCTATTTGGCATGATGGCGCCTGTTAGTTTTAAGGAGCCAGCGGTCGTACGCTGCGCCTATGCGGTAGTGTAATCGGGGGGTGGGGGGCTCCTGAGAGCGCGCCTCTTCGTCCCTGACACATGGGCGGTCACCGAAGTGTGTTCTACCTCATTATTTCGATGAGTGATTAATGTACACTCAAGGAAAACCCGTGTCCCGATAATTATTATCCAAGCGCAAGAATTGTTTACATTTAAATAACACAGTTTTAAAAAAGAAGGACACGCGTTTAAGAACATATGATTGGTAATGCATTGGTGCCTTCTAATATATTTCGTCAGACTTTCTTCTATCCCCGCGGCAACGCGCGGGGGTCGGGTACGCTAGTATATATATATATATATATATATATATAAATATATATATATATATATATATATATATGTGTGTGTGTGTGTGTGTTTGTTAACGAATCATATTGTTATTATTTATATTGTTATCATGTTCACATACATACACATACGCACGCGCCCACATGAAACATAAAAACTACAAGCGAAACCTTATTAGTTGCTTACTCCTTGTGTCAGCTATTCGTTAGTTTGAGCAGATCAGAGAAGTGCCTAAAAATCATAATTTGGCTGGCAAATGAACGAAATCAAGAAACATTACTGATATGGGCCGGTGTGTGAACTATTTCGCCAGTTCGGGCTTTGACCGACTTGGAGAATTGGCCGTAACACTTAATATTATACAAGAAACAGTAACACTTACTTTAGTGTAAAGTATCAGTAGAAAATACATGAGCAACACAGTAGCGATTATACAGAAGATGAATATCTGTAGGCCTTCATTATAAATACTCCATGTTAATAATTCACCTGTAAAAGTTTGGAATGTTGAAACAATAATAGTTTAAATTTCTATATTCTCGTCACGCTTTCAATATGTTACTTGAAAGATTCGATAAAAAAATATTTCAACCAAAGCTTTTTAAAGCAATGCCTGTTTGCAATATTTTTTTTACAGCAGACAGTGATGTTAAAAACTTTGTTTTATAAAATAGACTTATCATTAGCTTAAATTTGGTTTTAGGCATTTATTACAGTTTTTTTAATTGTTAAGCGTAATGTATAATGCAGTTTTTACAACTTGTATCCTCCAATTTAACGAAATATTTCACTTGTGAATTAAAACTGGACCACTTTAAATCGGTTAGCTTAGCTTAATTCGTTTGCTTATTTATAATTATCCTTTAACATTTTTTAATAGCATAAACCAGATTTGGGTAATAAATAAATAACAAAGCTTAAGCACATTATTCTTACCTTTAACAAATTTCAACAATCCCATGAATTTATTTAGTAATTTGGAAAATACAAAGTTTTGATTTTTAATATTGATTTTCTGTTTGTAATTCGTGTAAGATCGAAACAGTTGACCAATGTCGCTATGACCGTGTACAATGGAATACATTAATGGTTTTGTCACATAATAACACACTGCATGCTTGTCAGTCATATGCTTTAAAAGAATTTTAGTAATAACTAAATTTCCTCGAGAAGCAGCTATTGTTAACACGTCCAAGTGCTTGTTGTTGAGTTTACAGATATCTGACCCATGTTGTAAAAGTAATTCAACTATTGAATCATGATTAATGTAAGCCGCATACATCAACGCGCTATATAGATTATTATCTGTATCATCCACTCTAGCACCGTGTGCTAAAAGAATTTTCACAATGTTTAGATGCCCTTTCATTGAAGCTTTCATCAAAGCATTAACGTTTTTAATGTTTTTGTGATGAACATCTGCTTGGACCCGCAAAAGTAGCTCCACTATCTTGACATGTCCCTTAGCTGCAGCAAACATTAAAGCAGAATCACCATTCATATCTGCCTCATTCACTCTGGCTTTCTTATTTAGAAGAAGTTGATTAACAATATCAATATACCCTTTATTTGTCGCAATCATTAGAGCGTTTTGTTTTTCTGTGTCCACTTGATTAATGTCAGCAGTAATGTGCAAGAGAGACTCTGCTAGATTGATGCAGTCTTGACGTAATGCGTCATTAATAAGGTCGGGGGAATAAGGCGTACAAAACACCCAGGCACAACAGTTTCCTGTTATGTGTTGTATTTTCATGTCTGTCCTGACTTGCATTGCGCTTCCTAAACTGTAGCATGTACTATTAAATTTATTAATAACCGCTCCATTTCGAAGTATCACGTCTATGAATTTTAAAATTCTGTTTTGAATTGCAAACTCCAAAGCGTCGTGATATTCACAAGGTTTTACGCCGACCTTGGCCTTGTGTTTTACAAGTACTTCTACGGTGCTTAGTTTTCTATTAAATAGGGCGATCAATACAGCATTGTGTTTGAATTTATTGCGAGTAAACACGTCAGCGCCATAGTCTAGAAGCAGCTGAACAATACTATCATCGCCTCTTTCACTCGCAAACATAAGAGCTGTACTACCGTTTATGAGCTCATCGTTAACACGCGATTTATATTTTAAAAGTAGTTCCACGATTCTGTAATGTCCAAAAGCTACGGACATCGAAAGCGCATTAATCTTTTTGTTATTAATTGCATTAACATCAGCTCTATGTTGTAAGAGTAACTCAACAATATCATAATTACTGTTTTGTGATGCAATTATCAGGGGCGTTTCGCCGTCAATTTGTTTGGCGTTGACGTTCGAATTATATTTTAAAAGGACTTTTATGGTGTCAAAACTTCCGTTTGAAATAGCAATCATTAGTGCGTTTGTTTTATTTTTGTTGTGTTTATTTATATTTGCTCCGTGGTGTATTAGTGTCTCTATTATTTTGACGTGATCTGTGTGTGCTGCAATCATTAGAGGGGTGTATCCATTCGCATCTTCTTGGTCAACAATGGCACTGTGATTGAGCAACATTTCTACAATGCTCAGGTATCCTTTATATGAAGCAGCAGCCAAAGCGTTGCATTTATGTTGGTCAAACATGGTGATATTTGTTCGATGTTGTAAAAGTAATTTCATTATTTGATCAAATCCCATTTCGGCAGCGATACATACAGAGCTAAAATAACTTTCATTACTTTTACTAGCGCCATATTTCAGAAGTAAATCTACAATGTGTATGTGACCTTTATATGTGGCTAGCATTAACGAAGTTACATTAGTTGAGCGATACACCTTGTTAACGTCAGCCTTTTTTTGTAGAAGATACTCAACATTTAAAGCATCACCACTTATTGAGGCATATTGTAATAGTGTGAAGCTTTTAAAAAGTTTACTGTTAACATCAACATATTTTAAATAAACGTCCATTATAGGAAACTGGTGTCTCTGGAAAACATTAATAATGTCGTCCTTTAAAAGTTTATATTTTAAAAGTAGGTCTACGATCTCGGAGTTGCTATTTATAGACGCAATAGAAAGTGCTTTTGAAAAAGTTTTTCTTTTAATGTGTCTTTGTTTTTTATTATACCTGCTGTAATCCAAGAGCAACTCTACGATGTCAGTACGATTTGTATAAACAGCTAAAAGAAAAAAAGTAACACCCTTTTCATCATCTTTATGTATATCAATATTATGCTTTAAAAAAACTTCAATGACTTTTTTATGGCCAGCGATTAGTGCAGATATAAAAGCTTCTGCCCGCATTGCTGACGTTATTTTTAAGTTCAAGCTGTATTGAAGTAGCAAATCCACAATCTTTTCATGACCAGAATTAGAAGCTAGAAACAATGGAGATATAACTTTATGTGAAGAAATATCGTCCATATAAAAGCCAGATTGTAAAACGGATTCTGACAGTTGATAATTTCCACTCGATGCAGATGTTATCAAGGTGTAGTATTTGTTTAAATCCTGGTCTGATGTTCTAAAATTAACTAAACTTTCATATTTATTTTTCAGCAAAAGTATACTTTCTTGAATCTGCTCTATCAATGTTATTAAAGTAGAACCATTAGTCGTGTTGAGAATTATTGAAATATCGCTATGAAGATACTTCATCAACATCATCATCGTTGAGAGTGGTTGATTGTTTGGCTTGATTGATGAATTAGTTACTTGTGTGAGAAGAAGTAGACTACAAGAAATGTAGACTAGTTTAATTTTCGTCATAAACATATTTTCTGTTTTCTTACAAAGGAATCGTATTTCTATCTGAAAAAATAACATTTAAAATATGATAAATGCATCTTATATTTTTAAAAACTCTAAAATAATTCTTCAAGATCGAAAATAAAGAAGCAGTCCTCTAATACATATCAGAGAAACTTTCAATTTCAATTAATGAAATTGTATTATTTTTGACCATACGTTCATATTATTATGGCTCTACAGTCAGTGACCTATGTATTTAAGGTATTGTAATATGATATAGTTCCAACCAAGATTTTGTTTTTATGAATCTATCTGGACATACTGCCTTGCTTTGCTTAAGTTTTCAAAATGACTGTTGAGAATTTAAATGATTCATTAATTGGTGATTGGCGGTTATGTGGAGTGCTTTAGGGCCTAAGTATAAATAGTTTAATTATAAATTAATAATTAATTTCATGACATGCTACCATTGGTGGAATTTTCGCAAACATATTACACGCAAGTTTATTATAACTGCAAAGGCTTCCTAAATAGTATAAATTGAATATTATATTACATTCACTTTTGTAATTGATTTTTACAATTTCAGTACAATACATAACTTATACGAAATAACTTGTAACGAAATATCTATATAACCGAATGCTATACTTTGCGATTTGTTTTTTCTTTAAAATAGTAGAAATGCTATTTTAAAATATTACTTTAAAATGTTACCTCCCCTGTACATAGACCAAGTGAAGTAGTCTTTGTTTACTTTTTCACAAATAATTGTTTATATGAGAAAATACGGCAACTGGACTTATCTAAGGACCTAATGATTTTTTCCGACGGGAATAATATTTTTTTTGTTACCCTCCAGGGTCGGTCTAGGATCTCAAAAAATATTAAGAGGATCGTCAATTTATTTATAAATATGTCTCTTATAATGAGGATATTTCACTCGCGGCCATTTTTTAGCCCTCATCTAGGGCTTTGAGTCTGGTTAAAGACTGGTCAAATTTGACCCATTTCTACATTTTTTCCGGACATGGCTATTTTTTTCTGACACCCCTATGTGTTCTCCTACCACCTCACAAAATATCAAAGGGGGGGGGGGGGTCGTTCGGTAAAAGTGTTTTTGTAATATAGCCCAGATAAGGCGCCGTTCAGTTGAGGTCAGTTTTGACCCCTTCTCCATGTCATTTGCGGCGAACCGGCACCGGCCCTCGATTGGAGACGAGGGCACATGATTCAAAAGAGTCAAGGAAACAAATTATAATAATTTCCTTTGATTTTAGTTATCATAAGAAATAACCGATTTATTTCTTGTGTTCGCTTAAATAATTCTCAGTGTAACACATGAATGTATTATGTTTTGTTTTGTCATATAAGTATGAAATGTTTCTATTTTATTTACTTTTTGTAATAAGAGCATTATAGAAATTTCAGCTCAGGTGTAATTACATGTGTATAAAACTTTCTCGAATATTTTTAGATGACACTAATATTGATGCAACTCCAGTGGAGTCGGGATAGACATTATTGTTTAATCAATTTGTTAATACTCAAATTTTTAAATAGAATGCAATCTCGAAAAAAAATGCTTACCAAATGAATAGCAAACAGTTTGTGTATGATAGTGTGGAATAGTGTGAAATAAATCGATCCGGTATACGTGTTCGAAATTTTGCCCGCAAGTTTTTAGAAATTGGGAATAACGTAAAGTATTACTTCCGGTCACTGAAATTCATTCAAAATTTGACAGAAACTAGAAAATTAGATATTTTTCTTGTACGTGGCATTTCGTCTATTTAATTGAAACAGTACTTAAGTTATAGGATTTTGAAAAACCGAAAGTAGAAATAGTGCCACTTCTGTTAAAATGGTTAATCGCTGAAAAGTTGATATAGGACTGCTAATTTGATATTATACCTATATATGAAGCTTTATCAACCTAGCTGTTCTTAAGTTATCATGCTTTCAGACATACATACAGACAAACAGACACACAAACAGACCGACACAGAGAGAGAGAGAGAGAGAGCCACACACAGACATACAGACAAAATTGCTAAACTATGTTTTTCCGACTTAAAAGTAAAGTAAAGTTTCCCATTAAAACCTGACGGTTTATGGGGCAAGTGAAGTAGAGTTAACTAGTTTCTGTGACCTCGGCATATGAAGAGATAGTGTGGTCAGCACTATGCCCGGCCACCTTTACTTTACCTAACTTGAGTTAGGTGCCCATCAGAGTTGGGTGGACTCAGGGACGGTCTACTGTAAAACGAAAAAATTGTGAAAATCTGAATTTCGCTATTTTTGCAAGATTATGTTACTTTTTCTATACTCCGATAAGAGAAAGTAAATGAGAAGTTTTCGATTCTTCAAAAACATACACGAATAAGAACGCCAGTATTAAATAAAAATACATATATATATATATATATATATATATATATATATATATATAGTATATTTATATATACATAAAAACAAATAAACATAATATATATGCCTACATATATCTATATATATACATATATATACATAAATACATACATATAATATATATAAACATACATATATTTATATATATATATATATATATATATATATATATATATATATATATATATATACATATATATAAAAGTTATCTTTCCATCATTTATCAACATATCTATATTACCAAATTATCTTGATATATATTAATATTATTATATTATTGAACTAAATTAAATATTTTATTTTACAAAAATTGAAGGCCTAATATTTTATTTTAGATTATTCTAAGTAAGGCTTACATACCACAGTAAATCGAGTTACGTAGAACCTTCAAAGCCAGCTACGACGATATTAGGTCTATGAGCTTATGGTTCAAAGCGTTAATTTAGTATTGAGTTAACAAATCAGTTTGTCTTCGTTTAGTTCGCTGGAGTATGTCATACTCTGAAATATGATACAAGTATTCAAGAATATTTGGCCGATTGTCAAGACGCATTAAGTATAAGCCTAAAATGTATTGATCTATAAATCAATATTAAGAGATACAGTTTAAACAAATGAATGTAGAATAACAAATACAAAATCAATAACTTCTAATATATCAGCCAATTAGCAATGAATCGATTCATCGATTATCTTTACGTGATTTTAAACCTTTTTTGACGGAGATAAATAAGATTATAAATATATTTTTTAATAAAGCGTTCAATTAAAAAGAAATTATCCATATCATTAAAAAATAATATTATTAAACATTAAATATGTAAAAATATGAAAAATTAGTTAATGATTATAGATAAAATGAAAGAACCATTTCCGTTTTACACACATCAAATCGTTACTATCGTCTTTATTAAATATGTTGCCTATTAATATAACTGATCTTTCAGTGATAGCATACTCGTCAGTTCTATCCAAGCGCAACGTGATGTTAAACCCGCTGTTTCCTATTCAACTCGGTTTTACAGTGAGCTGTGGACGCTAGAGCTTCAAAATCAACTTAGTTCAATTCAATTAGCAATTTTTCTCTGCCAACTTTATCTGCACATCATACAAATGATGAGAAAATAATAAAACCTACTTAACACCTACTTTTACCCTTCATAATATACAATGGATTATGTAACACCAACGGGGACTGCCACATTCAGTGGTAGGCATACATACGATTAAACAATACAAAGAACCAATCAATAATACAAGATTTTTACAAATGAAATAGTTCAAATCAATATCTTGAAGCAATGGGTATTAATATTACAAAATGTTCGACCTATCTTATTAGGATTGTTTTAGCCTTTCCACGACTGTTTAATGTATGTGCATTTACGACAACAGGTCAAATAGTCTCAGACAAATGACCTTAAACAAAATATCCAATCAACAAAATAACTTATGACAAAATATTTCAGAAAAATTGATATCAAGAATAAAACAACTAAGACATTATGTGCTAAGGAAAATAAAAATAGGATTTTTTTAAAAATAGTCGATTTAACATTTAAAATTGTCTGGCCTTCTTTCTGTTCACATATATTGGTTTACTTTATTTTACAGGCAAAAAAGATCTGACCTAAAAAACGAGAAATATTGTACTAAAACACATTGTTTATAACTTACTATAGGGTACTGAATTTTTATTTATACATTTATGTGTACTATAAATACATTTACATAAAACATTGACTAAAATAAAAGAATTATTAGAACTGAAGGTATGTTAGTTCACATGCTATATAATGTTATAATTTAATTGAAATGACATTATTAAAGTTCAATCTTTTGCAAAAAATAATTTTAAGCCCATAAAATTATGGGAGTTAATTATTGTAATAAGTTATGTATACAATTTGTATACATATTCCTTTTGAAAAAAAAAAATTAGACAAACATTAATAAAGACATAAGGCGAAATAAAAAAAAAATCTTAAAACTTTGTAAAACAAAATATATAACTAAACCATCTAACAAGACAAATATATTACATTTTAATGTAGGAACAAACAATGATAATGCAGAAATGTGTATTCTACATTTGGAAATCTAATGCCGTTCAAAGTAAAGCAACATGGCTTAAAACCCCTGATTTAGTGTCTCCATAAACAAAACAATAATTATTTTGAAAGGATGTTTTGATTTTACATTTATATATTATATCCTTTTTTTTCAAAAACCAGTCAAGCACAATCACCTAATAATTCGATTAATTTTATAAATTGATTAATTAAGATGCATGCTTTATTTTTTTTTCTAACTATCAATCAGTGGATAATACATGATCTTACACTTGAGCTTGTCTTCAACCTCTTAATGTTGTGTAAAACCTTCACGACATGCCGTCACGACTACTCCCCATAATATCCTTTCATCTTCTAGGACCAGCCCATTCCCATTGTCCTTTTTCGGTTTTCTTCACGTTATTCAAACGTGAT